GAAGAATGTGGGTGAAATCTGGCTCGCTGCCTTGTTGAATATGGTCTGCCTGCTGGGAGAATGAGCAGTTTTCATGACATGTGTACTCCTTCCCCATATGCTCCCCCGGCACGTCTGCCATTAGTGTTTAAGTACATGGGGGAAAGCAACTGCCTCCTAACAAAAAGAGCCCAGTCTGCACCAGTTCTCCCCAAAGGACACAGACAGACTCATAGTGGCAGGCAGCGTCGCCCAGCTCTTACAGGGCACACAAAGACTGCCACTGAGGTCCTGAGAGAAATGCACTGCTTTTAACTACTTTAAAGCTTTAAAAACATTTTTAAATCTTTATGGCTTCAACTGAAGCATGTTAATGACTGATGGTGAGAAAAGATGAATTATTCATGAATGTCACCTCAGGATGTTCCCAATTTTTTGATGGAGGTAGGCTGGCATGAAGCTATGGGGTTATTTGCTCCTCTTACTCCCTCATTCAAAGACAGTCCCGAGGTATAAAGAAAAACAGATCCAGCCTCACAGTTACTTCAGCTAAGGTGATGTTCAGGAAAATACTCCAAGAAGTTATGTAGCTACAGGCTGAAGTAGTTGCACAGTAATCAACATTGATGGATGGTGATTCAAAAGCTTAAGAATGGATCTTAACATTACTCTCCCAAACAAAACTAGATATATTGTAATTTTTTAGCTCACTTAATTACATACAGAGCTTGAAGTAGCGGCTCAGAAATTGCTATGGGGACAAAGCAAAATACATGCCATTTTTGAATTAACTGAATTTCTTTTCAAATAGGTCACACTTGGGTATATTAGCACCAGATATGTCATCACAAAGGCGCAAGTAAGAGAGACAAGATATTGATGCAAATAAGCTCCAATTCTTCCTTATAAAGACAGCCTATGAGGACAGAAATCAGGATGAGACACTGTCATTTCTACACAGACTACAAAAATACCACTTTGGTACCTGGCACTTAGCTTCACAGGTCTGTACTTGTGACTAGGAAATGCAGATGAATAGTGTGACTTTAAGCATATGATACAGAGGGATATGCAGACAAAGAGCAGCCTAGAAGCCTTGAAGGGTTTGTTAATACAAAGGGAAAAGAAAAGGCAAGGAAAAAAAATAGAAAGAAATATCCACATATTTGAAAATGTATCACTGGAAAAAGAGTGCCAACTAAGCATAAACCTAGGGCTGGTTTTAGGCACAGTCCAAACAAGGAGTCATTTATGGTAAGAGACTGAAGAAGGCTGAGCAAACCTCTGGCTATCAACCCTTACACCCACCATCCCACTCTGGCAACACAAGCCGTACGTGAGACTGAGGTTAGCTCTCCCCGTCCCTCTGCCCTTTTTGTCACAGCAGAGACTGTGAAGATATCACAACAAAGCAATTCAATTTGCAATTTAGAATTCTTGAGATGACTTGGCGTCTGCCCCCTGCTACAGATGACCAAAACACACAGCTATAAGGAAGTTCAGATCCATTTGGGTTAGCCACAGAATCAAAACAGTTATTATCTCAAGAAACCTCAATGGCATATGTAATAGCAACCCAGAAAAACCTCACTGTTTTCCTATGTCCAAAATTCAGTAGATGATAAAGCTGACCGGAACAGACTCAGGCTCAAATGAAAATTCTCATCCTAGCTTCAAAAATCACATCATTAAACTTCCTGTCTCTGATTTGTAAAGACCAACGCTGGATAATGACAGCTGGCAACCTCTCCATTTATCTGGGAACTGATCTTATGCACATGAGGGTCTGACAAATCCCACAGTCCTTCTGCAGGAGCAGGGGCCTTGGGGAAGTTCCAGTGGGAATTTAACTCAACAGAACTATGGAAAATAGGTTTGCTCCTTGGTAGAAGTGAGGTAGCTTGCACTGAAAAACAATATTCCCTGTCTGCCAAACTTAAGCCACAATAAGTAATTTCTGCTGTTGGAAAACAACCACACATACACACACAAAAAACACCCCTTGTTTGAAAGGATTTTCCTGTACATAGAATTCCCAGGCTTGCTATCCCAAGCCTCAAGCAGATGATCCTTTGGTCTTGATCAAAGTGAAGGAGACCAACAGGCTAGACTAAGAGCTTTAAACTCTAGAATATTGATGTGGAGCTTTTATCTAACCACTTAAAAAAACCTAAACCACACAGCAATTGTACCATCCCATCTCCTGGAAATATCACAGAAAATGGTAATGGATCTGAAAGAATTGCTACCTTCAGTTTTTGCATGTTGTGTAACCTGACACATAAATGGCTTAGAAATAAGCCTTGTCAAGGAGGTGTGCTTCATTTCGTAAAAAATCTTGCAAGAGGTATGTCCTTACAGTGGAAAAAGGAATCCGTTTCAGATCAAAACCCAAGTGTCTTACTTGAAAGCAAAGTCATAAAGCAGGCTTTCTAAAGGACTTTTGGTTAAAAGGGAAAAAAAACCCCAACCTCATGACATCATACACGCAGCATTGGATTCAATCCCACAGACAGAAAATAAACATGTCAACATCACATTTTCAGGTCCTGAATGAAATAACATACAGAACACTTCCGAGTATCTACTGTCCTTAAACTCCAATGAGAACCTCCAAATACACAGATTCAAATACATTTTTATGGGTATTTTTACTTCTCATGTACTTAACTAAGTTAAAAAGGCAAACAAAATATTTCTGGAGTACCTGACTCTGAAACAGACCACCTGCTCTGACCAAACTGAGGATCTAAGTACAAATCTTTACATCACTGCAACATACTCATCCTGGTGAATATTGTATTGGAAATTCTGAAAGCATCAGAGATCTTGGTCCAGTAGTAACAGTGTTTTTGGTATGTGTCCCAGCAGCGTGCAAATGTATTTTAAATTCTGCACACAAACTTTGTGGGGTGTCACTATGAATAATTTACTCATAAGTAAACAAGCTTTCAGATCCAGCAATCAAGCACAGGTAGACAATAGCAGACTAAATTACAGGACTGTTCTTTATGGCCCATCCTCAGAGATCAACTACTGCCATGGGTAATGGTTAGAAATCTTAATTACTTCAACAGCCGGTAACTGGCACAGCACCAAATGAGATTGTCCACTGGTATTAAGAACACGGAACACTGGAGCCATCACCATCTTCTAAGGATTCACACTGTCAGACTGGAGGTTTATCTCAACATTTCAGAATGTCTTGGTATGAAAATCCAGCCACAGTGAGGCAGTTTCAAAAACCAAAAGCCACTCAAGTCCTCCACACAAACTGAGCCTAGAAAGCAGTAATTAGACTGTTCCCATTCTAATTCACAAAAGGAATAATAAAATTTAGCTAACTTAGTAAACTTGTTGCTTTTGTGAGTAAACCACCTACAGGAATAATTTCTGAAGACTGTACAAGACAGTGGCTACTACCAGATAATTATTATAACTTTGTGCAATTAAAAAAAAAATTAGATTCTCAGCTAATCTAGGTGGCTGGGGATCTGCAAGCTATTTATGTTAAACAGTGTCATCATATGTGATTCTTCTGGACCTGTACCATCAGAAATGGTCTGAAACATGCAGCACTATTCAGAAGATCAAAGATGATGAATATGTGACATGAAATTCAACTGACAATCACAATCCAGGTAACACCGGAATAAGAAATAAAACCCACTAAGAAATTCTACTTTAGAGACTATCAGCTGTACTGATACAATTGAGTTGGTCAACCCAGGAAACAACCATTCTGATGTAGGGCACTAAACCACTTGACGATGTAAAAGGTACTGAAATTAATTATGTTTGATTGTAGGTGCTGAGCTTTGTTGACTCATTCGATTAATTTAGCTGGATATAAAATTCTGTTATGAAAAATAATTTTACAGCTGTTTATACTGTGCACCTTCAAACAAGTGGCCTATAGTAGATTGGGCTGAACATGCAACATGAGACACAGTTGACAAGACTCATATAGGTATTCATCCACTTCTAGTAAACAAAACACCTGCTAAGAGCATCCAACCTTGGCATGAAATGCAGAAATTATCCATATCTTTAAATAAACCACACTAATCAGATGTGGTTTAGCAAGGCTACTGGGCCAATCTGGAATCTTGGGTTTTGGAGTGGCAGCAGCAAACAATGCCCCCACCAGCTTTACCACCTCATTGGTAAGTGCCAAAGTCTCAGTATCAAATAAGGTCTTCCTGGACCTTCCTAGAGACATCTGCATTGAGCACGGTCTCATAAGATGCACTGCAGCCAGAGACATTCAAGAGTCATTACAAGGCTTTCAGGCTAACAAATCCAGAACTAAATCTTGACTTGCATATTCTTGATGTATTTTTGTTAAGACATTTGAAAACACTCAGGCATAAAGTATATAATTTCTTCTGTGCTCTTCTGACTAAAGAAACGTGCTAATTATAATGAATTAGTCACTGATGAGAAGAAGAAAAAAACCACCACCAACAAATGCTTAAAAGAACATGAAGTACAATTATGTTGCTGCACTTTTGGTAGTTAAGGATGAAAACACAGGGTGGCTAACTTTTCCTTTTATATAATAGTGTCCTCCAAAAGTAAAGGAAGACAAAAAGGAAGTGGACTTTCACATGTAATAGATTACAGGGTAGTAATATGGACACTATTAAAAATTTTAAAGATTTCTTTCCCAATTAAAGCAAAACTTTCTCGATTGAAGTGGAAGAATATGCAGTGGAAGCACATACACTGGGAAATTATGTTCATTACTTGCAACTTCATCAAGCAAAGAAGTCTATCACAGGCACTAACGGTCATGGCACACTAACACATACGCACACACAGAAGGCAGTTTACTCACAAAATAAGTTGGATGTTACAGAACTTGCAATGATTTTGTATATGCACTTGTATTTTCAAAAAACAAATCACCTTCCCAACTAGGACTTCTGGTTGGGACCTTAATATCCTAACGTTAAATAATGACCTTTATAGATTTCAGCTACACTACCTTTGTAAATAAAAGTTTAAAAGATACATACACTTTCGTTTCATAGTCTTTCCAAGCTTTATCAAAGGGTTTTTTCAGGTCCTGTCAAGAAAAAGAAAAAAAAAATACAGTTAGTTATTTACTTGAAAAACACTGTGGTTCTAAGGATGGAGACACACCTTGGCATTTGCAGCATCTACCAAAATAAGAGGACTCCACTCTTTCTCAAATAGCTCACCTGAGGATTGTGTAAAAGGAATCCTGCACATAGGAAAAACAATCTTGTACACAGAATTAATACCCTCATGTTTTTAAAAGCATCTCTAGGATGCTTTTTACTATGCTTTTTAGAGCTCCATTTTACTCTTTAAAAGGTATAACCACATGTCATCCCAAGAGCTCAGTATACAATTAATCCAATCCACTATTTTCTCATCATTTCACCTCTGGCTGCACTAGAAAGAAGCACCTGCCCTGAGGCTGTGCCGTAGCTTTGGCTGAGAACTTGACTCATCCCACTGAAGTTCAAGAAGTCAGTTTCCCACTGACTTAATAGGAACAGCATAGGCCATACGGCTCGGCATAACTAATTCTGTGAGAATTCTGAATTACTTATGTTCCAAATTCCTTTTTTTTTCCCTTTGAAAAAGCCAATTTGGATAAAATGTTCTTAACAGGTTGTAAAACTATTTCGCTCATGTCTAAAAATGCAACAGAAATTCTGCTGGAGTTCAAGAGATTAGTCAACTATGAAAAAACCTCACTGTTAACTGTCAGACACTGGAAAATCTTTACAACTACAGATTAGGAACTAATGCTTACATATCAGCTAGTTATTTCAACAATTTTAAAATTAACCAAAGCAGTATTTGATTATTTTCTCAAGTCAGGAACATGAGGCGAACACTGTATTGTAATAAATGTATTTCATAGAATCATAGAGTGGTTTGGGTTGGAAGGGACCTGAAAGATCATCTAGTTCCAACACCGCCGCCATGGGCAGGAACACCTCCCACTAGAGCAGGTTGCTCAAGGCCCTATTATTCTGACATAGAAAAAAGAAAAGAACAAGAGGAGTGAGATGTGGTAAGCAAGCAACACAAAGATAATAAGCCTATCTTACTAAATAATCTCTTTATCCTCCAGTAATTTCCAGAGACCATTTTTAGTCTATGTACATTTTTCTTCTTCCTTCGATGTCCTAGAACAATAGCTGCCAGTCACTTCCTGTTTGTTCAGTAGTAAACGAAGCGTAAGCCAAATAAGTTTGTTGGCCATAGGCTTTGAAATTTATTATAAACATATCATCATTTGAGTCCTAAGTTATTATTATTTCAAATAGGAAATATCCTCAGGGCACAAACAGATCCCAGCTTTGTTAAGAAAAATCCAATGCTCAAGCAGTCTAATGTGTCTTTCTTAATAGTCTGTACAGATGCAGGTAAGTTTAGAATGCTAAATAAATATGCTTTAAAATACAGTACTACCCCCCTCCTTTGCTAAGTAAATATCTGAATTCTTACATCTCTTCCTCTGCTGCCCTCAGGGCTGCTTTAAGGCTTCTCAAATGTTGTTTTGTATACATAGTCAAGAGCATATGAAACCACAAACAGAAGGGATGATTCGATTCACACACACACACACAAAAAAAATCTCTTGTTTATTAAGCTAATACACTACGTTAGTATCCCATGCCTTCCATCAAATAAGATTAATACGCTAGCTAAATGTATTTATGTACCAACAATAATTTTTATATATATAAATAAGAAAACCATACCCCTTTTACTCCTTTCAGATCTCCCTTCAGCAAACTGTCCAATGGAAAAGTGATTATGTTGTTCATATTCTGAATCTGTAATAAGAAAATTACATCAAAATATTTAATATGTTTTAACGCAGAACATACTTTCTGAAATGTGTGAATTGAGACAGTGTTGCACAAGGTATTATTTTCCTAACCCTACTTTATGAAGATGTTTATCAGTACAGCCAGTAATCAAAGATGGAGGCAAAGGGAGTTAATGAAACTTACTCTGGAAACACTGTAACCCAAGCCAGCAGGAAACCTGCAGAATTACTGCTGATGATTAATATTTCATCCAACAATGACTAGAAAGTAAGACCACTAATTTTTACATCATTGATTTCACTGTTTAAATTACATGAAAACAATTGTGCAATTTTTCAGCACTTACATTTTATGACATACATCTGAAGAGAATGAAAAATAAACAAGATTAATTTAAAATATACTGATGAACTTAAAATATCTATCTGCTACCGTCACATTACATGGCATCTCACTCTGACAGAAGTTATAAAGACAAAAAGTGCTGTAAAAAAACCACTATTCAAGCATTTTCTCGGTATTTTTTAAAAGTAATACATCTGCCTTGTTTATCTCATACAAACTTTGAAATAAGGATTTTATGAGGTCTTGAGTATGCCATTAATTCAAGAAGAAAAAAACATTTCAAACTAAGACAACAGTATCCAAATCATGGTTCTAGATAAGTATCTGTGCAATAATATTTTGTTGAGGAAAAAGGCTGAAGAAAGAGTAGGAATAAGAGAGCAACTAATATACACCAGGAAAGACTTCATCCTCTATGATTCAAGGTATGGGCCATGATGTCTACGCACAGTTTAAACTGTAACAAGTCAAGTGGATTGCACTAAAGACCAAAAACCAGAGTACGGAAAAAAATCAGAATAACTTTTGCAGCAGTTTTGTGAAGGTTGCCTTTGGATGAGTTTCTTTTTTGATGTTATTGTTAGCTGTTCATTTAAAATGTGATTTTTTTCAATAAGCACTGAAATGCATATATGGAGATGGATTTCAAATGTTTAAAGTACAGAAAGTACTTTGCATCATGTAGCAACAAGTGTTTCTGTTTCTTCAGGAACTTCGAAATCCCTTTTAGCACAAGCTATCCAGAGAGGAAAGGACATTAACAGGAACTTTAAGAAAAAAGTATTTCCAGCTGTTATGCTCAGGATGCCTCAGAATGGAAAAATACAAAATATTATCACCCTAGAGTTACTTGGTGGTCTCTCTGGAACAGACTCAGAAGTCCCACCCCCAGTACTCAACAGCTGCTATTAAAACATACAAAGTCCCCCAAACCCCAGCCCTCCCTTCCCTCTACTGCCTTAATCTATTTGCTTGAAATTTTAGCCAGCAATCACAGAGAAAGTGAACATACATCAACTTTCAAGCTTAATCAGATTGCCTCTGCATGGGAAGGTTGAAGAAATACAGAAAATCCGGTCTTTTAAACTCTTACCACAAGTGACATTTCCCCTTCTTCACCCTACTATTCCTCCTCCCCAAAAGCTGCAGGACTCAACCACAGTCCTTTAGAATCAACAAGTTAAATTTAAACTCTACATTTGCTTTTAAAATAATTCCTATAAAAACTGAATGAGCAACATTTACACACGCTTAGCTGGTAGCGCTGGAAACTATCCACCTCCTAAGATCTCAGCAGTACTGCAACTTCTGCATTTCAACATAACCATGGTCAAAGTTAATAAAATTATATGTTGTAGAAACAAGAGATAAGTGAAATGGTTTAAATCACACAAAACTTAGGTAAAAAAATAAAAACTTCTGGAGAAAGACAGAAAGAACACACATATCTTTGGGCGTGCACATCTAGAATGGCTATCCAGGTAGAGAAGCAGAAGAGGTCTCATCTAAGATCTCATTCTTTGCAAAGTTCTCTACTTTATTATTCTACTTCATTAGTATGTTACAGTCAGATGTCACACCTAAAGATCAATACTTTTATAGCCTCCAGTTAATTATTCTTCTAATCCAGATAATTCAGCACAAAGCAAGAGTAAAGCATCTCTCAACAGCAGACTCAAGACAACTAGTTTTTCTTTAAGCTTGAAAGAATGAATGTCAGGTGCTCAAATATTAACCCAGACATACTCATATAAACATCAGTCAGCCTCCAAAGCAGTTCTGGATGTTTCCTAGAATTTCAAGTCATGGGGCTTGAAAGTCCGAAGTGACGTTAAAAAAAGAATGGGAGAAAAAACCCAACATTCTTTTAAAAAGTTTGGAGAACCCCTGCCTATTCAAATTAATGGCTTCTATATGCTATCATCTGTACATTGCTACCAGTCTATTGTATTCACGGTGCTCCTAGTTTACTTGCAACAAATGGAAACATACATAATGCATGAAGTTGTCATTATTAACCTAGTTAGATGAATCATACTTGTTCATATTTATAAATCGGCAAGAAGGATACAGAAGAAAGATCTTACATGTTTTTCCCCTCTTTCTTGAGAAGCTTGAGTTGAACTATCTAAAAATATAGACCCATTTTTGGCATGCAGCAAGGCATTAATATGCCGCAGCTCCTACTTTGTGTGTATACAGGGAGCTAAAATGTATATAACAGCCTCTACATTTTGACTATTTTATGTTTTAAAATATTCTTTAAAAAAAGATGTGCACAAAGGTGCAGAAAAGCTTCACAGAAATGAAAGTCATCTTATGTCAGAGGAATATTAGCAAGTTTCATGTGTTTGTTTTTTTTTTTTAAAAAAGAAAAAAAGAAAAAAACTATAGTTGACCTGGTTTCCACTTCCAACACTGCTGCTTTGGCAGACTCGCAGTTTTCCTCTGACAGCATCCAACAAGATAAGATGACAGAGACAGGGTAATAAATTAAAACTTCCTAAGTTGGAGAAGGCTCAGAGGAGAAGAAGAAGAAATGGCAGGAGGGAGAATGTAAAAATAAATAAACACGTAGCTGCCAGAAGCAGCGGTAGAGGCAACACACCAGCCAACATTTGCAAAGGGGAAAGATTTTCCTTGAAGAGCCTATGGCTAAACACTGAAGTTCTTCACTTGCCAGCCCTCATGTTTGTTTTAATGAGTCTTTTTTAGAACAGCTTCAGATAGTGGTACCTACAATACATCAGTAGGCTTTGCTGTTTTCTAAATCCAAGGGAAAAAAAGTTTAAAACTTTTCTTAACATGCAGATAAACAGAGTGGACCTTAAAACATTTTTAATTTAAACTAAAATTCAGGCATTTGAACAGCGTACGATATGACTCTTATTGCTATTACTAAATTGTAGATGTAGTTGGCTGAGGGCTTCCCAACCCCCAAGTGCCAGAAGCACTGCCTGTGAACAAATCGTTGTTTAAGTTATTTTCTCTTTTTTTATGGCAAGTACTATCGGATCGAATACTTTTCCAAAAGTTTTCCCAGTGCTGTGAGCTTTAGTAGGACAATGTCAATCAAAACAGCAGGGAACAAATGGAAATCAGAACATCCGCTGTAGATGAGACACAGTTTGTTTGGCTGAACTTTGAGCTTTTAGCATCCAACCCCAAGACTTCAGAAAATCATGTAACGTACAGACTTGTAGCACAAACTTTCATCTTTGTCCATGCCTTCTTCCCACACAGAAGGACACAACACTGCCTTTCCGCTGTCCTCACCCCCTGCTCCACCTGCAGCAAGGTGGTGCATCCCGTAGCACAAACCGCATCCCACCAGGCTGGTGGCTGAGGTGGGACATGGCCCACCACCCGTGTGTGCCACAGGAAAAGTGACTCCAGTGAAGCAGGAGCTGAACACCACTAAGTGCCCATGTGGAGCTACAGGCTCAGCTGCCAGGAAAATTGCCTTCACACAAGATATCAAGTGTTACCCCTACTTGGGAACAGCCCCTGTACCACCACTGATACACTAACTACAGGCCGGCACCTTCTCTATTAGGAAGTGCAAACGCAGAATGACAGGAAATACGTTTTTAAAGGTATTCTTAAAAGCCTAAGGTGAAGAATTTCAAAAGCAAAGGAAGAAAGAGACTTGAGGTTATTCCAGCCCATCTTCCTTGCCAACGGAGAATTCCCAACTGCACATTTTCTAACCTAGGTTCAAACACCGAAGTGGTAGGTTTCCACAGCTTTCACTGGGACACTTCAACTAATATTTTCACAGTGAGAACCCATTTAAATGCAATCTATTATTTTTGTCTTCCATAATCACAGTTATCTGTGAGGCAAACCATACATTTCCAATTCTTCTAAGCTTTCTTCATAAATCAACCTATTCAAGCTCTGGTCATTTTTTTGTTATGGTCTGCTCAATTTCTTCCAGTTCGATCAATATCTTTTTGGCAAAGAAATAAAGATAAGATTCCAGGTGGAGCTGAACCCATGCCACTAAGGAGGAATTATTATATCTTTACAAGTGCAAATCAAACAGTACTCTTATGTTTATCCTCTCGCCATTAAGCCAGTCTTTCCTTGGGTGTAGCAGTGAAAAACAGAAACAATACAGCTTAAATCATTAAGCTTCACATATAATACTCCAACCTCAAATATGTATATCAGTAGCTTTTTTTATACACTTAATTAAGATGAGTCCTTCTGAACTAAATATGCCTGTGAAGGTTCAGGCACTAAACATATTTTTACAACACTAGTCTTACCTATTATCCCAGAAAGAAAATTCTGGGCATTAATTTCTTAAGTTCATTATCTAATACAGAAAAGATATTTCCTTCAGTTTTGTTGTCTTTTACATTTAAGCAAATCTCTTTTTTTCTTACATTTAAAAACTGAAGTAAAACAGGAGCATATGGTTAGAAAAAATATTATGGTTGTTCTTCCATTTTTCCTGGCTAAAAATCCAAGGATTATTAATAGAAAAACTTCTCACATAGAATTTTTCTCCCAGCTACCTTCCACAGAGTGGAAATATCAGATTCCAGTTCTCTCAATCCATCATGTTTCATTAGCTTTAAATTTAAATAAATGAAAAAGAAAGGAAAATAATATGTAGAAGAAGAACGGATACAGAAAATGGAATTTGTTATATAGCTACTTCATCCTCACAGATCAAATCCCTTTCCAAGGAGTGCTGACAAGGATGACAGGCAACTACAGATTTTATTTCTTCTTGGTGAAGCAATCTAATAGGATTGAAAGGAAAAAAACCTATTTAAAGTGCAAACACATTGCAATGAGCCTTTCCTTATGCGGACATTTTTCATATTAAGACTCACACCTTTACCACTTGGTACTAAATTTATTAGGAAGACAGAGTAATTAACTCCATAAGCAAGCACCATACAGACCTAACCTGCCTGGGAACTGTGAGTGTTACCATCCCATCGGGAATTAGCACCAAGGTTACCATCAAGAAGCAATGCTGTACGTGCCACAAAAGGCACGGGGTTACCTCTGGAAAAGCCTCTAGTATTTTCTGATAGTTCACTACCAAAGAAGACATATTGATTGCTCAGTTGTCTTAGAAACATTTCTAATCCAGAAAAAAGTTGAGGAAAAATTTGTAGCTTGGTATTTGAGTTATAGAAAGAGGGGAAAAAAAAGGTACAGTATATCATAAACTGATCCAAACTGCAAACAATGTGTTAGATAGAACTAAAATGAGTAGCTACAAGGACATGATATGCAGTAAATGTCATTTTATTTCTTTTCTTAGAAGAAGCATTTTATAAATCACTTCAAATGTGAAAAACCAATGTTCTTCAAAGGGTTTTTTGAGTTTTATGCACTATTTAAAAGTGCACACATAAAAGCAGCGTAACAGAACACATATAAAAACTCAAGACCTGAACTTTAACTTGAATAGTTTACAGTTGAATAATTGGATTCCAAGACAAAAAAAGCTTCAGATGTTAATGAAATATTTTAAAACACTGATGCCTTGATAAGTCCACTAAAACATCAAAGTCTTTTGGGAAAACTTTAAAAATAATAGAGAAAACAAGAACCTAAAATTCCTGTTAATGTAAAAGAACTTTCTAACAGCTTTCCTTTAGCTTACTAAAGACAAGTTTAAGGAAAATCTTTTCACAGAAGCATGTTAGAGCTACTGCTTTAAATGCCACCCAGGCCAGAGCTGACAGAACACATCAGCTTCTAGAAACAAAAGCAAAATATATGACAAAGCAAAACTTGACAGTAGCCCTCAAGCTTTGCCAGTGTTAATAGCTTTGGCATCTGCTCCAGTCCGAACACGTCCTCTCACTTCCTTGCACATTCCCCACTCATTCCAGCTATGCCTTCTGTGGAAATTCAGTGCCCTATGAAACTCCAGAGAAAGATCTATTTAAAAAGGGATCTTTCAGAATGGTGGTTTGGTGTATGGCCATAGCCACATTTTTGATGAAACTATTTACAATCAAAATTTGTTGGGTGCTACAAGGAAACACCAAGGGAGGGGGATGTTTTTACTACCAACGTGCTTAAAACATTCAGAGTTGGATACTTCACCACCCTGTGAGAATACATGGGGCTTGTTTTATACATGGCTATGCCTACAAAAAAATAGGACCCCAAATTATTTCCAACTACTCTATAGAACTTTTACACTAGTCAATACCCTTGTAATCTCTTAGAAAAGTAGAGCTCCCTCAGTGAGCTTAAGAACAGATTTTCAAAGTGACCGGTTATCCACAATCTATTCTAGTGGTATTAACTTCTAACGGGCAAAGTTACATAAAACTATAATTCTGTTTTATAATTCTTTTATAATTTTAGAATCCTTGTTTACAAATATAGTATTTTCAAGCAATAATAAAGTTTACATTTTTTTCATATGTATTTCTTTATGAAGGAAACTATTTTCTTAAGCACCAAATTCAAAGAGCATTAGGTTCCCCTATTTCTTCAGCTTTCCTTTGCTAAGCAGGAGAAAACAAAATGCTTCAAACCTCAACAATATGATACACATTAGAAAAGAGCAGAACCACACAGAGACCTGCCCTTCACCAGACAGTACTGAAGAACAGAATAGGTGCCTACACTTTTGCAATGTAAAAAAAACCTACCCAAAATTACATTAATATCTATGCACAATTATTTGCTTCAAAAATAGAGAAAAATCAAACCACAAACTAAGAAAAACTAAAGATTTAGCTACTGTCTCATGACATATTCTCTTTGCATACACACAAACTGAAGCAAAAATACATAAGGCAGTAGAGAGCAAAAAAAAAAATTAGAAATATTCCTTGGAGAACACACACAAAACGTGTGTCTAAAAAACCAATAAAAACATGCATCACTTCCTATAGACTTTCATTTTGGTTTTGTTTTCCTTTCCAGTTTGTGGAAGAAAAGTTATTCTTGTCAGAAATATTTTGCAAAGATACTAGTTGTTGTTTTTAAGAGAAAAAATAATTAAGATTTCTGTTAAAATGGCAACATTTTTTAGCTTTTAAAAGTCTCCTTGAAATATAATACATTTAAGGGTTTTTCTGGGGAGGGGGTGCAGCTTTTAGTAGATTGCTTTTTAAATCCACCTAAACATCACATTTGCCAGGTCCATTTGCCTAATGAAGTCACCATATTGCAATTAATATACGATAGGGAGGGTTTTTCAGTCAACAGAAGGCATCAATTAGAAGACCTATTCTATTTCCCCTTCCATATGAGCAGTCTACCTCTGTATGGGAGACGCAGGACTGACTGACTCACACCCACTAAGGATGTCCTTCTGATACATAATCTCAGATAATATTTGTACATCCAGAGATATTCAAATCACTATCACCAATATGAAACACATTTCACTGTTCATAAATACATTTGGGGCTAGTTTCTCTCTCATCAATATCAAAATTGGGCAAAAAAGAGAGGACACCATCAGGGAATGGATGAGAATGCCCTAAATCCCATCAGCTGGAAACATTCCCCAAAGAACTGATTATGACCAGCTGGCTGCAAACTACAGACATTTGGTCTAGACTCACAAAAGCATTTGATGTGTCTCCATCCCATTGATTTCAGCAGGCACAGACTTTTAAATGTTTGTAGGAATCTGGGTCATCTCCCCTTCCTAGCCCCTGGTTTCAAAGTTCTGTGGTTTCAAGTAAATTTGGGACTTACTCAGACATGGGAAAACTCTAGCTGGTAGGAACAGTCAGAATTGGCTCTTTTTGTGCCCTCTGATTAATGTGAAATTGAGGCTGAAAATTCTCCATTCATAATTAAAACTCCCATTCTTCCATTTGGCTCCATCCCACTTGGCTCACTGAAGAGTGCTTTTAAGCCTTACTGGCTTCAGTTGCAGGATTGGTCCCCAGTGGACACCATTGTCATTAGAGCATTATGTTTGACTTTGTTTGCCTGACTCTTCCCTGAGAAGCAAGAGGCTCTCTCTTCCAGGGACGCTGAAATCTCCCTTTACAAATACAAATGGCAAGTGTGAAAAAGTAAAGCAATAGCAACACAAACACAGAGTAAACCAACTAGGGTTTTGCTGGTTTATCAATTTTAAAGCAAACTGATATGTACATTTTATAATACATGTTGTAAGAATTTTATTGTGAGAACTACTTTTATAACTACTTTTTATAACACTTTCAGCTGTGAGAATTGTTGGAAGAGGGATTTTTGTTGGGTTTATTTGGGTTTTGTCATGTGGTTTTGTTTTGATTTTGGGTTTTTTGAGTTTTGCAAGAGGAAAGGCCAGGCATGAGACATTTTCCTAAGCCAAGAATTTTTTAAGGACAGTGGTTGCTAAAACACAAATTGTCTTCCACATGAAGAGCTTTTATAATTCAGAAATACAGCTTTTGTAATAGCCTTAAAATTTCAACATGTTTTTCTTAAGTAATTCTTACCAAATTTTTGAAGAGTGCAGTTAATTCCTTTGTAAACACAGAAAATTTTAAAAATGCTGTTCCCAAATCTGGGTCATCCCTGCAAACACAGTTGCCTCCAAATTTCTCCAGTGCTTGTGTATACTGTTCTTCATTTTCCACGTGAGCTTCAAAAAGAGAAAAACATGAAAATGTCATCAGTAGATAAAGGTTATTGAAATTACAATTGATTTTAAAAAAAGTCTGAAGATTTCTTGCTAAAAATGTTTACTTGATACAATACACATATATTATTTATACTTTAATGCTGATGCCAGAAGTATGATGTATCTTACTAATTCTGGTTTCTGTGGATCTATCCACATGCTATACAAAGGACAATATGTCATTGAGACAATCATCTGACACTTATCCACTCTAAAAAGACCCACAATATTTCTGTACTGTACCAGAGACCACATAACAATTCTCAACTCCACTAATGAGTCTTTAACTGAGTGCTGTTACATTTAATTGTGTGCTGAACAAAGAAACAGAGGAGATTAAGTGTGTTGGCAAAGTCCTGGATCTCTACAATAGAAGGCAAGAGATCAAATAAGACTCTCAGGTCATCTTAGGAAAGAAATGGGACTACAAACTCCATCACAGATGAGGACAAAACCCGTATCTCTGTTAGCTCTCCAATTCAGAGCAGCAGTGGGGACCTGAAGCAAACCCTAGCAGCCTGAATTTACCACAGGCCAGTTCAGTTCTCAAAGCAGTTTTGGTTCACGACAACTAGATTCCTTCCTGAGACAAGGAAACCAGAAGCCCTGCCCCAGAAGTGGTCCAGAGTTTAATAGAGACAGTAGATTCTGAATCAGCATGGGCTGCACCAATGCAAGTCATCCAGTACCACCTAAGGCTCCTGCCCTTCAGAAAGCTTTGAGCTGCACGCGTTGGGGGGTTATTCAGCCCAGGGAATGAGATGAAATCTAGGCCTACAGCAAGTTCCCCTGATTTAAGTACAAAGGAAATATGAGGGGTCTTAGTCCTAATTATTCTGACCTAGTGATTAATTCCTAGGACACCAGATTACTTGCTTGTGTAGACAGGCATAAAAAGTCCCTGTCAATTTGATCTGTGGAATAAAACAGTCTTTCTGAACCCAAGCTTAGTGACCACGTCAAGCTTGAGCACATGAACAAAGCACACCAAGCTGGCACCTCAAAAAGTTTATGTCACCTATTTCTTATTCTACCGGTGGCCAATTTCTAATGCTTCAAAGGAAGTCACAAAAAAACCCCACATCCTAGAAAACAAATTATGCATTAATAAGAACAAAGACCCTTTCTTGATCATTGAACATAAGACCAGCATAAACCCTGAAGATTATTCAGAGAGGATTTATCTGTTCAAACAATCAATGATCCAGTTTCATTTCAAGCCCATTTGTATCCATCAACACATTTAATATCCAAAGGATTCTTGATGTGATGTCCTTTCTCCAAATTCTATGAATTAATTATACAACCTGTTCAATAAACCTAGCACACCCCAACTTAAAAACAAGCCTGTCTGTTCATGCTCCTATTTGGACAGCTATTCAAAAACTTTATTTCTCAAGTAGCTACAAATTTTCTTTAATTTCCAATATATGAAACTAAAAACCTGTGGAGCAGTGGTATAATATAAAGTAATTAACGACTGTCATAATATACATGCAGAATTGAAGCTACATAAACAGCATTAATTCTACAAGTTTCAGCATTCAGCACTTGAATTTGCAGCCTGTAAAAGACAGTTCACATATAGCCATTCAATTTAAAAACTAAGTCCTAACACTGAACTGTACTTCTTTTTCCTCAGCATCAACAGCAGGGGCTGAACACTGACTAAACTATTTGCCTACTTGAGCTGTAGGACAAAGTAAGGATGTTCAACTAACGCTATTGTGTGACGTACACACACCTGAACAAGCTTGGAACAAACTGGCACAGACAGCAAAAGCCAGGGATATGACAGGTCACACCTCCTCTAGTTCCCATGGCTACCCAAGTAAGTTGAATTATTTCGATATTATTTTCTGCACTCTTTCTATTTCCTGCTTCCAGCTTAGTGTATTTGAACCCAGGTGAGGGTGGAGGTCAGGGCACAATTTATACAGCAAAAAAGAGAAGGCTGCCACACCATGAAAACAAGGTGAAAAGGTTCCTACCATTAATTGGTGTAGTTAGATGTGCAATCAGCAGCTGAATCATGCTGACGTTTTACCTTAGGAAACAAGAGCTTTCTATTCCATACAGCATCCCCAAGAGTTTTCTATTCCCCAGCATCCTAGGGACTGTTCTTCTGGATCTACGTATCAGATTAAACAAAGCCAACAAACCAGCAGCTCAACAGCAGTTCTGAGACATTCCCCAGAATGCTGATAGCAGTTATTGCAGCAACGCTATTAGCTGAGCTGGTACTCCACAAGTGCTTCTGAAGAACACAAAATTGTATTTGCTCATGGAACCCTCCAAAATACTCTCCCTCCCTACAGTTTCTTCCTGATGGATTAAGTTTCCTAACAAACAAAAGGTTTGGAATCTATCAAAACAAGAAATGAGCCAGGTTTGTTCGAGGGTTTAGAGGCGCTTTTTTAAGAAAGAAACTAAATTATGTACAAATTGGAGTCACTTTAAAACCTCAAAAATGGTTTCTCAATTCACACATTAAAAAAGAAAGCAAAACAATGTATACTCAATACTCAGGGAACCTATACTAAAAATCCAGTAACTGTGCTCTTATGAGTGCAGGGCCATAGTTTTTGTTTTATCAAAACAAACCCCGAGAGCTGGCCAAGTGGCTGGGTTAGTGATATTTCTGCTGGTGGAAGAGAAATTCCTCCAAACTTTTATTGTCAAGATTGGGCAGCACGAATTTAAAAAACTAGGGAAGGTACTGATTTAATGCAAAAAATGTAGTGATTTGTTACAAAGCTCTAACAAGTACACTGATTATAAGGCATAGTCAAGCACTCAAAAATTAAAAAAAAAAGAAAATGCCCGAACAAAAACCCAGAAGAAAGGGCGCCAAATAAATATGTAACAGATGACATAGCTCCCGATGAATCTTAAACTGGACTCTCCAAGATCCAAAGATAACCACTTCATTACGTTAGGCAAGAAAGAACTTTCTTTCAATTAGCTGATAAGAATTATACCACAACAGCAATCCTTGTAACAACCATATATCTGAACACCATCGTGCCCATAAGTTTTCAGATATTGGTGGCTCTCCAAGGTTGCCAGGCCTATTTATTTTGCATGTAATATGGGGTTTTTTAGTTCTAATTGCTCTGAACTGCAAAGTGAGAACAAAAGCCAAAAAAAATGCTGTTTCTTATCTACAAAAACAAGTGCTGTTTCTTATTCACAAAATGTTGCTGATCCACAAAAACAAAAGCTTCGGTTACTTTTTCAAAGAAGATAAACACAAAACTCCGTGAGATTGGCACACATATAAAAATGCACACAGCAATAGTTCTTTGTATTTTTATCAGCGTTGTAAGAGAAATATCTGACTTTGTGCATCATGACAATAAAAAATTGCAGCTCATCAGCTCTCTCATCATGAAGTTCTCAACACACATAACTGGAAGCCACCAGGAAGGGTGAGGTTTTACAAAGCAGTAGAACCAATGGAGCTTCTTACTGCTGCCAAAGACAGTAATTTCACCCCTCCCATGCCCTCAGCTCTTGATAATACATACATGCCTTACCATTTCAGGTGCTCATCTAATCCCGGTTCAGTTGATTTCACTGCATATACAACTTTACATGTGTTAAAAATCTCATTTTGGGATCTGCCAAACATCAGGGGTGGCAGAAGGAGCAGGCAGCCCAGAGGAGGTGGCAAGAGGAGAGCACGGCTTCCCCCTTGGTAGCAGTGTGCCAGCTAGATAGGTTCAGCTGCCTCAACAACTTTCATCCTTACTGAGTTCATGATCAAGCAGCTAGTTCAAGACTCCTATTTTTAAATGCACATTTTTCTCTTCTTAGAGTTACCCATATAACTTTCCAATTCAGTGAGACAACTGACTGTTTAAATCCTCCAATTTCACCAATATAAACTACCAGGAATTATTATGTACTTACCCAAACCAGATAAGTTTATGGCTTTGACAGATTTCTTCATTTTATACAGAACAGTTCGGTCAACATCCAGAGCCTAAAAAAGAAGAGAAAAATTAAATATGAAATGCTGGATAGTCCTCTGGTAAACCTGTGCCCTGGAAACCTTCTGTAATTATAACACTGTTATGTTAGTTAACCTAATTTCTGTAATTAATAAATTACTTGCCAGTTGCTCTCATATCCATCCATACAACCTGCTCTGTACTCTCGTCCACAAAAACACATCTCTCTTTTGCTCGTGACCAACATCACATACACCCAGCAGCATCTAAAATGAATTTACACGGTATCTTCTTCCTATGTTAAATTATTAAAGAAGCTTAAAACAGTTTCATCCCATTGTATGTTCTGACACTGCTGAAGAAACAAGCAATATCACTTCCCCAGGCAGAATATTAAAAATGGAATTTAATTTCTTTTTTTCTGCATAATTTAGTTAATTAATTGCACTCCCAATCATATGAACTTCCTCACTGCTATGCTGAACAAAATAAATTGCATATCTCTCAACTGTGTTTCACACATTTTATCACTAGGCAAAGCTTTCACCAACTCAACATAAAATTCAAGTTTAAATCCTGTCCAAAATACTCAAGCTCTTATAACCAATTTGTTTCAAAGAGAGAATTGGAAGCAGGCAAGCATTTTCTTACTGAAATGAAATATGGGCAGACCCAAAACTGTACAATTGTTCTGGAACAGAGAAGCAGAATTATGGTTCTACTAAGCATTAAAAAAAAAACAAAAAACAAAAACAAAAACAAAAACAGGAAAGGAAAGGAAAGGAAAGGGAAGGAAAGGAAAGGAAAGGGAAGGAAAGGAAAGGAAAGGGAAGGAAAGGAAAGGAAAGGGAAGGAAAGGAAAGGAAAGGGAAGGAAAGGAAAGGAAAGGGAAGGAAAGGAAAGGAAAGGGAAGGAAAGGAAAGGAAAGGGAAGGAAAGGAAAGGAAAGGGAAGGAAAGGAAAGGAAAGGGAAGGAAAGGAAAGGAAAGGGAAGGAAAGGAAAGGAAAGGGAAGGAAAGGAAAGGAAAGGGAAGGAAAGGAAAGGAAAGGGAAGGAAAGGAAAGGAAAGGGAAGGAAAGGAAAGGAAAGGGAAGGAAAGGAAAGGAAAGGGAAGGAAAGGAAAGGAAAGGGAAGGAAAGGAAAGGAAAGGGAAGGAAAGGAAAGGAAAGGGAAGGAAAGGAAAGGAAAGGGAAGGAAAGGAAAGGAAAGGGAAGGAAAGGAAAGGAAAGGGAAGGAAAGGAAAGGAAAGGGAAGGAAAGGAAAGGAAAGGGAAGGAAAGGAAAGGAAAGGGAAGGAAAGGAAAGGAAAGGGAAGGAAAGGAAAGGAAAGGGAAGGAAAGGAAAGGAAAGGGAAGGAAAGGAAAGGAAAGGGAAGGAAAGGAAAGGAAAGGGAAGGAAAGGAAAGGAAAGGGAAGGAAAGGAAAGGAAAGGGAAGGAAAGGAAAGGAAAGGGAAGGAAAGGAAAGGAAAGGGAAGGAAAGGAAAGGAAAGGGAAGGAAAGGAAAGGAAAGGGAAGGAAAGGAAAGGAAAGGGAAGGAAAGGAAAGGAAAGGGAAGGAAAGGAAAGGAAAGGGAAGGAAAGGAAAGGAAAGGGAAGGAAAGGAAAGGAAAGGGAAGGAAAGGAAAGGAAAGGGAAGGAAAGGAAAGGAAAGGGAAGGAAAGGAAAGGAAAGGGAAGGAAAGGAAAGGAAAGGGAAGGAAAGGAAAGGAAAGGGAAGGAAAGGAAAGGAAAGGAAAGGGGAAAAAACCTTTGTGAACCATCAAGAAAATAAGTATGAATTCCAGAGATGGGGATGTCTTAAACTCCACTGAAGAACAATACCAACCACTACAAATTATATTATGCCAAGAGCTGTGTAGCATGATACATGCTAAAAAAGCAAACAAAAAGGACCAAATTCATTCCAGTTTCCATTCAAAAGTTTTCAGTGAATTGCAGCAGCTACACATCTGACCTACCATTGTTTTATTGTTAATAATTTGTGTAAGAGAAATGATGTGGAAAAGTCAGTTCCTGGGATCCTATCCCATTCTTTTAACATACTGAATGCAAAAAGAAATATTATCCCTCATATTTACGGGAGTAGTCTTAAACTGAATCCCTTCAGACCACAAATAGCTGGGCAAAATCTTTGCAGCATTCCATGGAAACCAACAGATTTAGATGTTGCCTTAACATTATAGTGTCATGGTACTGCTATATCCATTGGAACTTTTACCTCCAGCATCTTTATAGTTCACATATGAAACATATTAGTAGGAGAAGTGCAGAGGTCTTTTCACCTGGAATTCTGAAGTACCAAAAAAGGGGAAAAAAAAAGGTCGAAGAAAGCCCCTAGAGTCTCACACTGCTCTCTTCACCCTTTCCAGCAATTTGAATTACATCCACTCTGACAAACCTGTGCACAGCGCGATCTCAAAGGTTAGATTAGTCACCTGTCAGGATGGGAGTACACCAGGTAAACTCCCTCACTGTGTATTCAGTGATTTCTAAAAATAACTTCATAAAATAAGCTCAGATCAGCTGACTACAGAGGAATGATAATTTCATCGACAATTGCATCAAAGGGCAATTACCCTCTTGGAGACAAAGTGAAAGGAATGTCTCCAACTACAAGCATTATGAACAACAGTCCAAAGCAAAGACTGATGGCCAGAGACTTAAAAGTTATAGATTCAGTTCCCAGCTAAGTCTCAGATCCGTGTGTGCAGTTGATAAATTATTTAATCTCTGCACTTCAGATTGGGGGAGGGGGGGAAGAAAGAAAAGAAGGCAGTACTTCTTAAAAAAGAGAAGTGTTGGAAGGATAAATGCATTGGAGGAATTATGAACCACTTGCACTACTGTGGTCAGGGATCCAGATAGACCTGGATTCAGAAGAATCTTCTGGTCCGTGACTGCCTCAGTCAGAAACCACAGACTCTCAGTAAGGGAAACACTTCAAGTCGTCTTCCTCAACCAAAGTCATCATTTTGGTGTGCACCTTCTCTCAAGCAACTCCTGCTTTTACTGGGATTAGGCAGTGGAAGAGCAAACCAGTAAAACACAGCGTAGCCAGGGCCCAATAAAAACAACAGCTGCTACCCCAACACAGCAGTGATGACAATTCAAGCATTTGGCTATCTCAGCCAGCCAGTCCACACTAAAACTCAAACAAGGGTGACAGGAAAAAAACACAAAAGCAAGCACAGGCACTACTGAGGGCAACAGTAGCAAAACCTAAAGCCCTAAGGTGGTGAAAACGTCCAGGACTGTCAGGTGGGGCTTCTTCCCCTGCCTGCCTCCTCAGCTTGGGCTGTGCAAGGCCTTGTGGGTACATGTCGTAAACCACCGGAGAGAAGCGATCTGTGTTTAAAATGATGTGGGGTGGGGATGCTATTTTTCAGCTGGGTAAACTTTCCGACTCTGGCTAGAGGCAGCCCCTTGACACAACACAGCCCAACAGGAAAGACAATGGGAAAACCAGGAATGAGTAGGAGGACCAACATACCCAGGTGCCCCTGCTGAAGAATCCTCCAGAGACATCTCTGAACAAGAATTCAGTAGCTGCATGAGCGTGGTGAGCACTTTTACTACGCTGTTATCTCCATCAGCTATGGGGTTTTTTAACCCTTATCGTTACATTAGTCTCAACATTTCTTCAGATATTCATTCACCAAAATAGAAGTAGACTTTGTAAGTTCAGTTTGTCTGGAAACTGCTACCACATTTTGATAGTGGACACTGAGTCTGTAGAACGATGCTGAAACATGCAGGGAACCAATATGACTGAAGCCGGCTAGATACCACCTTGACTAACACTGACTTCACACTGACTTTGCCAGTTGAGGAATCACCTCAGCTTCTGTTCAGGTAGGTGATCCACTCCAAAGCCATGAAAAACAGAGACAAATTATCCCAGTATAGCCAAGTATCCTACCTTTGTATCAAGGCAACAGAGACTCAACCTGTTATTTCTTCCCTCTCCCCGTCAAAAAAAAAAAAAAAAAAA